AGAGAGAGAGAGAGAGAGAGAGAGAGAGAGAGAGAGAGAGAGAGAGAAAGAGAGAGAGCAAAATATATAAGTATATAAGTAAAAGACCAATAAGACAAAGTAATGTGGGATAAAATGTCTACCAAAATGCTAATGGATTCATTTTGTGTTGGGTATCTATCACTGAGCTTTAGGCCTATCCAGAATTATGATTAGCATTCACAGTGAGAAAAAAGCATGGCAATCAAATGATCATACTCTTTTGTACCCATCTCTAAATCCTCATCTCTCTCAGCCATCCACAGAGAAGCTGCTCTTTTTAAACTTATTTTTTACATTATTTTATTGTTATTGAAAATATTTTTTTCATATGTGTAGTCTAACCATGGTTTCCCCTCTCTTATCTTCTCTCAGAGTCTGCAATACCCCATCTATCCATCTCCAAACCTTTACTCTTTATCTTTCTGGAAAATAAGCAAAACAATTCAGAAGTTTGAAAAAGAAACAAAAAACAGTATAAACACATACATACATACACAAAAAACCCCAGACAAAAACCACCAAAAACCCATGAAACATAAAATCATGAAGTATAATACACAAACAAAAGACTAATAAGGTAAAACATGCCCAAACAACGAGTATGAGACAAAAAGAAATCTCCAAATATACCTTTGCGTTTATTTTGTGTGGACCATCTACTTCTGGACATGTTGCCTATCCTAAAACTTCAATTACGCACCCAGTGATACTCCAATGGAGAAAAAAAACTTCCTTTGCAAGCAGTTGCCAATTGGAGAGAGCCTCTTGGTTAGGGATGGGGTATCATGTCCACTTCAGACTCTCAGTGTTGGGACCCTATCTGGCTTGGCCCTGTGATGGCCCCATGCATGTTGTCACATATGTGTTCATTCATATGTACATCTGTCCTTTTGTGTCTGGATGACACTGTCTCCTTGGTATCTTCCATCCCCATTGGTTTTTACAAATATTTCTGCCTCCTCTGGAATAGTTCTCTGAGTCCTTAGTGAAGGAGTTTGATAAAGAAATCCCGTTCAGGAGTGTTTCATGGTCTCTCATCCTTGCACAATATCTAGTTATGGACTCACAACTGGAGAATATATAGAGATTAAGAGATTTGGGGTCATTTGTATTCCAGAAAGGACAAGGTTTGATGTTGTTAGTCTTTCTGCTTTTCTGTAGGTGAGGCAACAAAGGTTTGGGTGTTACGCCCCAGGTCTCATTACTGGTAACCAGGTGAGCATTGTGGTTCAAAGTCTGTTCATTTCTAAAGCCTATTACTTTTCGTTAAATTAATAAGCATATGTGTCCCTTAAGAATAGCCATTTGCAGACAATAACAGACACCCCCCCTTTTTGTCCTCACATCAACATCAGCATATGTTAGCTAGGATGTGGTAGAAAGACAGATCATTTTGAAACCGTTGGTGAAAGTTTACCTATGTGTAGGCATGTTTTACAGTTCCTGTACGGTTTGTTTTTAAACAGTGCTCTCTTTATTTCTTTCCACCCCTTTTCTGATCCTTACCACTGAGCAATTTTATAAGAATAGAGATAGGTACCTGACATGTGAAACCCTAGGAAAAGTCTAATGAAAGCAATGAGGAGACTACTGAAATTTCACTTAAGATTTTCGCCTGTGATCTTTTAGTTTCATGTCTGCATTTAGTGTCTGGGGACCTGAGTGCTTGCTGATTTGTGTGGTTGTCCTAATGACCAATGGCATGAATTACTGAAAACCTAATTAGGCCTTTTGAGCTGAAACTATTTTTTCAAGACTCTGACATTTAGTGAGAAGTGTGGTGCCAGCAGAATATCTGAACTGAATATAATTTCTAATTTGAAGAAAGGTATTGTCATGTAATTATGTGGGCAGATAAAGACAGCAATTATACAAAACTATCTTGAATAATGAACTTTTGGAACAATGAAAAGGGAAAAATGCATGCCACAGCCAGGCCAGTCACATATATCACCGTCACCTACTATTATATGCAGACAGATGTCTTGATAGTCAACGGGTCAGAATAAAACTGACATTAAGTGTTAATTCAAAAGGGTAGTAATGGTTGATGGTTGAGAGCCACAGGTAAGTACTATTTCCAAAAAGATCAGAGAAGAGAAGAATATTTTCAAAGTATGAAAGGACTTTCCCTATGAAGTCAATAAAATATACATAAACCTTGTAAAAGTACAATGCTGGTATTTTCCTGAATTAATAAACAAACCAGGAACTCAGTTGTTTATTTGAAACTCAGTTGCTTCTGAAGGCAAATATGAATTATTACTGAGTAACAACAAACTCAGACCTCAGTGGCTTAGAACACTAATCATTTCTTTTCTTTTCTTTTCTTTTTTTTACTCAAAGTTTATTAAAATACAAAAGTCTCCATTTCCGCCCCTCCTCCCAACACCCTCCCACTCCCCCCACTCTCTCCCCTCCTCCCTCTCCATCCCCAAGAGCAGTCAGGGTCTCCTGCCCTGTGGGTAGTTCAAGCTCCTCCCCTGTCCCTCCAGGTCCAGGAAGGTGAGCATCCAAACAGACTGGATCAACACTAATCATTTATTAATGTATCATACACATGTGTAGGCCATCTGGGAGATATGTTATCTTGATTGGCATTAGATGATCTTTGGTGAACCTCCCATGAAGCTGTGGGTTAGCATCTAACCTGGTATGGCCATTTGTTCCACCTCTCCCACTCTCAAGGTATCAAATGGCCTTTCTCAAAGTGATGACAGAAACACAAAAGAGCAAGAAGAACTTGGTGGGAAAATTAGAATCAACTAGCAAATGTTCACTTCCACATCCTTTTAGTGGCCAAGGCAAATCATTCTGGTCGATGATAGGAAGGCAGGCTCTGGCCCTTCTCCAAGTGGAGCTATAAAGTCAATGAAAAACATGTATGAACACTATAGAGTGTACAACTTGGACATCTGGTGCAACACAGGACCATGCAACCCAGGACAAAACACTTTTTGCAATAATATTTAAATTGGAAAGGAGTCTTTTGGATTCTGAACAAAATTGTGTGAAAGAGAAAGAATAATACTGTGGTGGCTTCTTCTAAAATGATACTGTGAACCCTGGGGCAAATATCAAAGACTGTGCAGACTTGGGATGACAGTAGAACTGCAGGATTCATCTCAGAAGGCCATCATAGAGCCAATGCTCAATTAATTGTGGTTATAAACTCACATGATTGGCAGCTAAAATCTCTGGCTGATTGTGAGACTCAATTCATAACCTATCTGTTCCCTCTCTATACCCACCCATCCTTCTAAACCTCAGTTAGTCCATTCTGGTCTTTCATTTATAAAATAGAAAACAAACTACTGGTAAATCTCATTTTAATTACTTTTCACATTGATGATTAACCTATTATATCAAAAGTTAGAACATTTTAATTAAAAAATTTAAAATTAAAGTGCAATTGCATCATTTCCCCCTTCCCTTTCCTCTCGTACTTGCCCTTTCTCCCAGAAATCATGGCTTCATTTTCTCTGTTATTCTTACACACACACACACACACACACACACACACACACACACACTTATGCCTAAATAATTAAATTTAACCTGCTCAGTTCATTTATTGTTACTTGCGTGTATATGATTTTAGGGTTGACCACTTGGTATTGGACAATCAATTAGAGGGCTCATATCTGGGAAGGTCATTTCTACTGGTTTAAGCATTCCATAGTCTTTTATTTTTTGTCTAGGAGTGGGGCTCTGTGACTTGTGGTGAGGGTAGGCAGTACTGGGACTAAAGCCAAAGAAGCTACTTCCCATCTGGGCTTTAGAAGTAAGTGGACAAAGGCTTCGAAGCTACTAATTTTAGCATCATACCACTGTGTTACAGAAACCTCACTAAACAAGAACATTTCTTAATCTCTGGTATCCTTTGTATACCAATAACACTTATTACTATTATCAGCAAGACAACAAGAATATAATATTGTAGTGGTGACAATTTTGGAATATGTCTCTAACGATACAATGAGTTTATTCAAGAAAAATTAAAGCTGAGTGAAAGGAAGAATAACAAAGCTACTGGAGGAAATGTCTGAGTCACAGTTTTCAAAAACAGTTCACCAACTTGGAACATGTGGAAAGATGAATTTATTGTTTACCTGGAGCTGGTGCAAATATAAAGAAAAGTCCATTATGTAAATGGTATGTTTACAATGTTTAAATATAAAAAAAACAAAAGCCTCTAGATCAAGGAAAATGAGAGGAAGATTATTGCACGTGAAACTAAAATGTGTGAAATAATAGCCATTTCCCTTGGAATCAGATTGAATAAACAATGCTTTTTTCTCTATAAAAGACTATTTTAAAGCTGACAGTGGACAAAGACCATCAAACCAGAAGGGAGGAACTCGCTGGTGGTGGCAGTCTGTAGTGAGGAGTTGCGGGCAGGCCTGCTTTTCGTCCTGCCCAGCTCCCGCATGGCTAGCTTAGCCCCAGAAATAATAACACACAAATTGTATTCATTTAAGCACTGCCTGGCCCATTATCTCTAGAGAGTTAGTTACTGGCTAACTCTCACATCTTGATTAACCCATTTCTAATAATCTGTATCACACCACGAGGTGTGGCTTACCGGGAAAGATTCAGCATGTCTGACCTGGTGGCTGGCTCCATGGCGTCTGGCTCATTGCCCTCTTCCCAGCATTCTGTTCTGTTTACTCCGCCTACCTAATTTTCTGTCCTATCAAGGGCCCAAGGCAGTCTCTTTATTGACCAATGAAAATAACACAATAGACAGATAACCCTCCTCCATCAGCAGTCACAGAAAGAAGTCTCAAATTTCAGAGTAAAGGGAGTTTTCAGAAATTGCTCACCATTCCGGAATGATTCAGTTGCTCAGATTTAAACCCTTTCTTGACTAAAACATTACATTTACTAAATTAACCAATCTAAGGAAAGTGTCACAAATCAAATTTCTAGTAGTAACTATCTTCTGCTTTAAAGAATTGTGATTCCTCCATTGGTGAGAATTGAAAGCATTTAGAGAACTGTCTAATTCCATCTACTTTGTTCTGTGAAAACGAACTTCTCATCTCTTTGTAAATCCAGGTACTTTCAACTGATAATTAAGCTGAATTTGCCATGGCCTACCCCAAAAAAGGAATCATAGGGAAAATATTTATGAGAAGATCTAAGATTTCATTTTGATTATTTGCCAAATAGTCCAAACTGGGCTGTGGCAACCTTCAGAAGCATATATTTATCAAAAGCTTTGCTTTAGGATTACCATAGCATCTGATGTCTAGAATACAAGACTTTTAGAGAGTTTAATAGTAGTTGATGGCGCTGAGGCCCCCGTGCATTTATTGGTGGTACGGAGTTTACACAATTATGTTTAGCTGTGTGTAGTTTATTGCAGCTGCTGGCCTTCAGGTGGCCTTGAACCATTGTATAAAGCCACCCATCAATAAATCATGATTATCTTCACTCCTTTTCTGTTTCCATGTTGTGATTATTTAAATGAATTCCTCTTCTGATAATCAAATCCTGTTTTGTCATCCATTTCATAAGATTTAAATGTCCTTTCAGCATGTGTGTATGTTGACAAACATCTATATAGGTAATTGGAGATCTTTCCTCACATTCTACTAGCCTGCTGTTACAAAGTAAAACCTTCCCCAGAGATAGCTAACAAAGAGAGACAAGATAAATAACCTGAACTTGAGATGTGCTTTTAAGGTTCTGTGCCCATGCATTCATTTTCCTATGAATACTTTTGAATGTAAAAGGCATTTACAAGGAAAAATGAGAAAGGCAATTTATGGGGAAATGAATTGGATTTGAATGAGGATTATGAATTGGTGAAGACAAAGAACTGAGGGAAAATGTGATCCAGGGTTCTGCCTTCATGCCTCTCTAATAAAGTGTATTTTAAGAACACATTTTTTAAAAAAGCTTACATAAGAAACCCACCCTACTTTTACTGAAATTCATTCTTATGGGATGTATATAATGCCAAGTATACTGCATTAAATTTTAAAATAAAGATAGCATTAGTTACTATCAGGTTCCTCAGATTTAGGATTTATAAGCAACTATCTTTTACACAAAATCCATCTTCTGAATAAAATTTTATGTTTTTTATTTATTATCTTATTTTCAATGAGATTCTGATGGTTAATAGAGGAAACATTTGGGTACTGAATGTGAAGTTGTCTTCTTGGGAGTGAGGGATGTATATGTATCTCTTTTACAAGAGATAATAAGTATAGAATGTGTACAGTCTGCACTTTGAAATCTTGGACAAGTACTGGATCACCTTGCACCCACCTGACCCATTTGTTACTGTAAACAAACGTATTCAGTTTCTCTCCATCTGTGATCTTAGGATTATAACATCATCTCTACTAAGAAAGTGGGAAAGTCAATAAACAGTGAAATAATACATCTATTTCATGTCTGTCTTATTATAGTTGCTTAAATATGACAGCAATGTGTGTGTTTAAAATGTGATGCTAGTCTGGAGGTGGTGGCGCAGACCTTTAATTCCAGCACTTGGTAGCCTGAGGCTGGCAGATCTCTGACAATTTGAAACAAGCCTGGTCTACAGAGTGAATTTCAGGGCAGGATCCAAAGCTACACAGAGAAACCCTGTTTGAAAAACAAACAAACAAATGTGATATTGAATAAAATAGGGTGCAGAAGAGGTGACCTTCCCCAGGGAAGAGCACAGCATGGTTGTCCAGTGCCAAATAATTAACACAGAAACATACTAGTAGCAGTATACAGACTGAACAGGTTAGATTTAAGAATACAAATGTATATATGTGTACATATATATATAATGTTTATATACAAATGCATGCAATAACGATTCATGAAAAAAGAGCCCATGAATTTGAAGGAGCATAGGGAGGAATATGTGGGAGGATATGAAGGGAGGGAATGAGAGAGAGAGAGAGAGAGACAGAGAGAGAGGTCATTATATTTTAATATCAAAAAATCCTTCAAGTACATTCACTTACATACAGTAGAATAATTATGTAATACTATTAAAAAGTCATTTTAAAATTATCATCTTTTTGGTCCCATCAACTCATGTGTAAATTACTATCTTTTTATTTCATTAGCTTGAAGGAGTGTGTTCTGAGAAACTCTGAGGTCTATGCAGTCTGAGTCAAGGCGTCAGGCATCAGTTTTGCAGAAATGTGCTTCTGGGAGTCAAGGAGCTCAACCCTGACCTTCCACTGGGAAGTGAGGATGTAATGTTACTTACAACATTTGGTGAGTTGAGGATTCGATTCATGAATGGCTGGAAAAGGGGTGGGTTCAAACTTTTTTCTTTAACTTTTTTTTTTCCTTTTTTTAAAAATTGATTTTATTGAGCTATACATTTTTCTCTGTTCTCCTCCCATTCTCTCCCCTCCCCTTCAACCCTCTCCCATGGTCCCCATGTTCCCAATTTACTCAAGAGATCTTGTCTTCTACTTCCCATGTAGATAGATCCGTATACAGCAAGCCAACAGCAAATATCAAACTAAATGGAGAAAAACTCCCAGCGATCCTACTGAAATCAGGAACAAGACAAGATTGTCCACTCTATATCTATTCAATATAGTTCTTGAGGTCCTAGCTAGAGCAATAAGACAACAAAAGGAGATCAAGGGGATACAAATAGGAAAAGAAGTCAAATTCTCACTATTTTCTTTAACTTTTTAAGATGAGGCTTTACTCTGTTAGTGCAGGCTAGTCTGGAATTCCTGATGTAGCTCAGACTAGTTTGGAACTCCTGGTGACCTACCTTAGCCTTCCAAATGGCTGGGATTCCATGCTTTAGCCACTATGGTAAGAGGCCTAATTATTCCAAAATGTTACTTTTCTCCTTAAGGATATATATATATATATATATATATATATATATCAACCTTAGTTTAATAAAATAAAGACACATTTCTATGAAAGATTATATGTCGATAACTTCAAATGGTGATTTAGAGTGAGGTAGAGAAAGTTTAACTGAAGGGTCCTCTTAATTAAAAACTAAGAATAGCGAAATGGGTTAGCCTTGGGCATTGTGGCTCTACCAGTCAAGACAGACACCTTGAGAAACTGCTACTGGTGAGAACTCAAGGTATCCTCCTGACTGGAAGAAGTACAGGTACATTTATTCCTTCATAATCCAATCCAGAGGGATGGACAATCACATCAACTTTTTCACTTTTTATTAAATAAAATCACATTTTGTACATGAACATCCCATTGCAGACAAGAGGCAGACAGCTATGAGCGATATGTGAAGACATATTTCATTTTTATTTTCTTCTAGGCATAGAGGGATATGTTAATCCATTTCCACATACAATTCCTATAATTACATATAGGGAGTGAGCCTTGAACTGGTTAAAAACCTGTATCCTGTGGTCAACTGTACAACTGGAGAGAAGAAACTCCAGAAGTTGAACTGCAAATTAGCTTCCTTCCTGTTTGAGAGCACACGGAGTTGTTCAAGACCGCACGCACGCGAGCTTCCTCCTTATGCACACACTGATGCAGAAGTGGCCATCTTGTCCTCTCTTGTAAACATCTGCTCGTGGGCGAGAGCTCTGAGTCTCTCCTGCTGCTGCCTAGGTTATAACAGCTGTTTGTGGACTCAGTTACAATTACAAGTGTACACTGCGCCAGACTAGAGTAAACACTCTCTTTTTGTTGCCCTGTTACTTTTCTGCAAACACATCTTAGGAGTAAGACTTTAAACCTTTGATCTTCCATACCAAAGGAAAAAAAAAAGCAAACAAAACAAGCCAAAAAAAATTAATACAGAACTAATCTCACTGTAGTGTTCATGGCTTATTGTGGAAAGCAGGTGTTTTAAACTTTTAGAATTTCTTTAACAAAATTCTAAAGAAAAAAGAAAAGAAAACAAAAAGAAATCATATTATTTACAGAGATAAACAGAATGGCTTAGCCATGCAAAACAAAGAACTTTGGTTTTGTTTTGTTTTTCCCTTTTCCCTTTGGTTTAAATATTCATCAAAATTCAATTTTTTCTTGCCAAATAAAACTTCAGTAAATCAAAGTTTAGAGGCAAAATAACATGTTTTCTTTTCCTCCATATTTTATACAGCATTAAGTCTAATAGAATATTTTGTGTATTTAGTGCGTACCAATGTACTATAGGAAGCTTTTATTAAGCTGAGACACTACTGCTCAGATATCAAGTGGTTACAAATGTACAAAGACACATCTCTCCACAGACAGAAGTGGCAAAAGATTATTCCCAACCTCCTTCAGAGATGAATCTTGATTAATTTCTCATTGCCTTCAAAACAGCTTATTCTTTGAGTCTCAAGGCAAACCCCACATTTCCTTTTCCTCTCAAAGAACATAGTGCTATACCTGGAAATAGTCATTTTTATTTTCTCAGATAAAGTTATACACGGAAATCCCAGACAAAATGACTGTGCAGCGTAATCCCAGAAACCAAGCTTCTACCTGAAAGAGCAAAGATTAAAGTCTAGTCACAAATTGCTACTGGCCCTCATCCAGTCTACTTCAAAAAGTCCCCATGTACACTACCTCCTTAAAAAGTTCCTCAGGCAGAAAACATGTTTATAAAGTTACAAATCTGATGTAACTAAAGATACATAGACGTTTTATTATTACACTTTTATGTACTGCTTGATAAATTATGTACCAGTTAAAAACACTAAATTATCTCAAGGTGCATTCAATATCTGTAGCGTAGTTAACAAAAACACACACGAAAAAAATATATATTCTATATTCTGTGGAAAATAACACAGCTTTAATAATGACCACTGTTATAAATCTGCAATTCTGACTGATATCTCTTATTTTATTTATTTTAAAGGAAATAAGTGTCATTTTAAGGCAGTGGATAACCCAAAGGATTTAACACCAATTGTAATTACAGTGATTTACATTGTAATCTGTGAGAACGGAAACGCTAGCTGTCATTTTTTCCTACTTTCTCGGACACATTAGCTTTTGTTTTCTTATTATTTTTTTCTAACTTTTCTTTTGACTGGATGTAACCTCCTAGAAGGTGTTGTTAAGTAAATGTGACCCAAGTTCTGTGCATGTCTTCTTCAGAGAAGACAGAATTGTCAGTTGGGGAGTATCATTCACGTGGTGTTGCTGTTTGTATCTGTGACATGCTTCTGAGAGCATGCTAGCTGCACACAAGCCATCACTCCCTGTAGCGCTCCTGAATCTCCCTTGGGCTGGCCTCCTAGCCTCAGAATTAAGAAGCCAGCTTCTGGTTGAGCGAGGCATATGTCCCCAACCTTGCAAACTGCCACCTTTGGGTTTCAGGTCCTTGTAAGAAAGTTTGGGGCATTATTGATAGCAATCAGAATCAGAACTGTACCTGCTCAGACTATCCATAGAAACAATTGAAATAAAACATTACATTATACATCCAATTAACAGCCACTCCCAGAACAAAGCTTACAGTGTATAAAAATAGCTACGTAAAAAATTTACATAAAAGGCAAACTGAAAGGAAATTCTTAGTGCAGACATTTACAGAAAAAAAAAACAAACAAAATACAACATATGACCTATTATCATGGCTGCCAAATCTTGCTGTTATTTGATTTTATAACTTTGTTTCACTGTTTCACTTGAGATAATTCTCTAAGATCCTGTGACAGCTTGGTAGGATGAACGGCTTAATACTTGAACCACGAATTGCTGTCATTGTCTTTGTATATGTCTTAAATACAATCCACGTCCATGCTTCAATTTGTCTATATGGGTTTTCTCTGAAATGAGAAAACATATCAGTTACCATAACAGTCATTTTTCACCATCAACAGATCCTTTGGACTAAAAGTGGCAATAATTACATCACAGAAGGGATTATTTGTAGAACCCTGATGTCCTGAGTCCACTGTAAACCCAGCTCTACTCATTCTACTACACGGTTTTGGAATTGATGATGTCTCGTTCCTTCCTTCCTTCCTTCCCTCTCTCTCTCTCTCCTCCCTCCTTCACTCCCTTTCCTCTTTCCCTTTCTCCCATCCTCCTTTTGCAAGACATGGTTAATGTGTATAAAGATAAGAGGGGAATAATGATTCTCCTCTTAATAATGCCATTAATAATGACAGTATCTCATAACGTTTCAGATATAAAATGCATCTAATTTGTGGGGCGTGTCTTCAGTTCTATAGTGAGATGGAACTCAACCCGTTCTGGAGGCTGACAGAGAGTGCGTTAACATGGAATTGAGGGAAAGAGAGTAGAGTGATAGAGAAGAAAGTGTGACATGCCAGGGAGGTATCTGGACTCCAGCGAGCAGAGCAGGAACACGAGTCTAGTGTTCATTCCTCAATCTCTTTGAGAGTCCAGCTAATAGACTTTGTAAACTGATCTCATTTCAGTTTTGCCATATTTCTCTCCCGGGGACAGCCTTCCAGTTGTAATTCTTTCCCATACCCTCTGTCTTTGCTGTAAAATCAGCTCAAATGACGCATTCAGATTGTGACTTGCTTGCTGCGGGAGTACCTTCCACTGCTTCAGCCAATAGTTGCTGAAGCAGGAGCCCACAGTGTTGTGGGAGCGCCTTCTGCTCCGTCAGCCAATAGCCGCTGAAATACCAGCCCACTGGGGTGTGGTATATTTCTCTTTAAAAGAAGAGCGCCAAGCTCGGCTTGGCCTATTGGCTGACAGCGCTTGGTTCCTGCTCCTGCTCCAGCGACTAGGCTCCCTTCCTGACGGTTTATGGTGTATGTTAAGTTTTACCCCCCAAAATAAATACCCCCTTAAAACATAATTGGTGTGGGATTGATTCGCCATTATTTGGCGCAACTTATAGAGATCTCTTGTGTGGTTGATTTTCTCTGGGGCCTGCCGGCTTTGGGGTACCAGGCGGGGACAGAAAATACAAACAAGCAGGCCCAACATGTTACAGAATGGCGCCCATGTGGATAATTGCATCCACAGAAAGCCTGAGAAAGCTTGGGAAAGACTAGAGTAAAGCATTTCAGTTTTCAGCTGTACCAGGAAAAAAAGCTGCGCTGTTTTAAAATGCTGGCTTTCTGGGCCGTCCTGCCAGGGAAAACTCTGACTCTTTCAAGCAGGAAGTCGAGACTATGGAGACACTGTTGCAGCTTGCTTCCTGGCAAGGACCTTGAAATGCCTTAAGAGCTTTTTGACTGTTGGTTTCTCCATATTCCTTAGCAAATTAAAGACCCATGTGGTCAGAAAAAGAGAGATATAGAGTAACAAGAGATTCAAAGAGTAAGAAAACCTCTAAATGG